CAATTGTCCGCATATATCGCCGCCGGGGCGTTTAGTCACCTGCCGTTAAGGCTCGAAAACAGACCGCAGACGCAGGTGGTTTCCCATTTAAGCGCTTGACTATAATTCCTTTTCGCGCACTTAATTCCACTTCAAGGTTTCTGTTCGCTACCTAGCATTGAACTTTTTGTTACGCTATGCTTGTCACATAGCTGCTGTTGATTCTGCCTTTGAAAACAGAGCATGCCTGTCTGGTGAAATGGAAACTGAGATCAGCGCCACATTGTTAACTTAATGAAAACAAAGGTGCTGAAATCAGCTGCATGATGAGGGACCAGTGAGTTTCCAGGTGTACATGGTTTCCTCCTTGTCTGACGCGCCACTGAGCTGGTCAGTTTTCAGAATTATATCCGTTTCCTCCTGTTCAGCATTGAAATTCATTACGTCGTGACTTTCCTGAGGTACCACTTGGGCAACACGTGGGACATCCCTGTTTGACGTTTTCAATTACACTATATTGACGGGTAATCGGACCGCCACAGAATGTTATCAGTAACAGTATGCTTAAAGTGCTTACAGGCTGAACTGTTTTCATGATGCAGACTATGAAACTTTCGAGGAACAGGACAATGACGATGACCACGAATCTCCGTGTCCATCGCCGACGGTCAGCAGAGACGACGTCGGCCGTAAATTGAGTAAGAACAGGGGCGGCAGCTCGTCCTCGTCCGGTGGGCAGTTGAAGCGGCCACGACGCACTCGACGTAAAGTGGTGGCAGACGACAGTTCGGATACGGTGTCTTCGCCAGCCAGTACTACGTCGAAGCAGAAGATGTGTAGCGCGACGCTATGTGCCGAGTTTGGCCTGAATGACGTAGTGCTCGACTATGACTCGAACGACTTCAACGGCATTACCAACTATAAGGTGAGGTAAAATAGACTTGGACGACGGTGATTCACGTTGCATTTTAGGCGTTCAACACCAAAGTGCGTCCGCTGCTGTTGGAGGTGAACCCAAAGATCTCGAAGACGAGGCTAGTCACCGTCATGGCCCTGAAGTGGAAGGAGTTTCAGGAGACGTTCGGCGCCCGCAGTCGGTCGTCGCAGTTACTAGCGACGTCCACGAATGGCGCAGACACCTCTCGGACGCCTGTGCCCGGGTCGGGTGGTCCGGGTCCTGGTACCGCACCGCGGTCTTCTAGCGACAAGGAAGCGCGGGAAAAGATCGTGGCACCGATCAAAATCAAACTGTCCACTCGACCGACAGGGCGAAAGCGCAAGAAAGACGCAAACGCAAGCTCGGTATGCGTTCTTCTTGCTAGTCGCCTCTCGTCTAATTAGTTTATTAGTAAAGTAGTCCGTTTATGTGAAACGGATTGTAGGCGATGTTTTTAAAACAAACATTACAAATTATCATATAGAGTTTAGTTTTTTTAGCCATATTTTGAACGGTTAACGATACTCAGTCAAAATGCGCATACGTAAAAATGTTTTTAATTTTCAAAACAAATCACATTTTATATAAACAGGACTTTGTGCATGTAGATGGGCAGTTTGTACTCATTACACTCACTTTTCGAGCAGCTAACCTTGGTGCTTGGAGGTGGTTGGTTGAGTGTCGAAAATTTCAGCCAATCCATCCTGCTCGATCGTTTAGTTGCTCGTCCTACATGATCTTGGTCGATTATGAAGACAGTTATGAAGCATGGAGTAAATGCAGAAAAAACGCTGACATTCTTTAAAACAAAAAATAATCAATTACCGTTCAACCATGTATGCAAACAGAATTTCCAACTGTTTACTGGGTACTGACGAAAAAACATGAAGATCTACTATGATTCGAGCAGCGAGATATGGAAAGACGGAGGCTAGAAATTTCCATTACGAGCACGCCGCGAAATGATGAAATAAGAAAATGCGCGGAAATGCAGAACGTTGTATTAGTTTCAGAAAAAGAAAATGGCAGTGGATATGTCACATCTCCCGACTAATATATGACGCATGGACTTGGCAGAAGTGTGGTACCAAAACTTAGGAGCAAATGCCCCGTTGAAACACCTGACTCAAATAGGACCATCAGCTTAAAGGAGATATGTTGGCTTGTGGCGATAGACAGCATGAGACAGACGGTGTGCACTTCGAGACTAGGTGGTGGCGATCTTCGTTATTTTCGAAAATTGTTCAGTCGGTTGTTGTTGCTGTTATCAGTATATACAAACCTATTTTCGTCTACAGAAATTGATGTAGCATCTATGTTCTGAATTCAACGTTCAGACCATCAGTTTACACGGAATTTTCACGCCACATGCTATATTTCAGACTCGCGCATTATGTTTATGTAAGCATATGATGCAGCAAGCTTTGAACGTAGCGTCGATATGTTAACTCATCACTGTGCATATCCGTTCATAGGCCATACCAAGACTTTTTGTAGGACAGAGTTTGGTACATAGCGATTTATTTTAGGCGCGCGCGCGAAACAAGTAGACGCCATCGTCCCCAAACTGTTCACTTCCTATTTGCAAATGGTTTTCCGAAGGATAGTTGAAAGGGTCGGATTGCTGGTTAAATATCAATGCTGAACAGCTCATGTGGTTCGCTGATGACGGTGTTATTTGAAGAAAACACCAGTTAGCTACAAAGTGCGCTACAAGAGCTCACAGTAACGGTTCACGAGTCAAACTGCGTATCAGTCGATTAAAAATGAATATACTGCAGTCGACTACCCATGTAGCATTAAATCATAAAAATATGGAAAAACTGATAACTATGTATACCTGGCTCATGAAATCAACATGTGGCATAATCAAATTGGAAAGATTCAATGGATAAAAAGGGTCAGCTGTACGGCTGCCAGTTGTAGTATTCTGTAGTGAAGGAGGCCAGAATGGTTTACTCGACTTCTGTTAGGTTGCAACAAGAAACAGTATCAAACTTTCTAGATATCGACAGAAACGTCTGCCCACCTCCTTGTAAATCAGATATTTTTTTAAACGCGTCAACTGTTCCAGCGTAATTCTTTGAGATCTTAGCGAAGATGCTTCTCTGGAATTGGCACCGTGTTGAAAGTATCATTCTATGAGAGTGATCACGAAACATCATCGCTTACACTGTTCAAAGACTGTAGTATGTTCTTAGGCTAGGCGTAAGTCAAAAGCTGGTTCAGACTACCAGTACTGAAAAGAATGACTAACGAACCTCATTACTTGTTGTTTATGAGACAGACTCGCACTTTCTCCTTTTTTCTATAAGCCTACCACAGAATCTGGTGATGGGTGGGTGATGGGTACGGGTGCAAGAT